ACCATCCTAACAGCTAACTTATTCCTCTTTGTGAATGAGATCAACTATAATTATTTCACCATTTTCTTATTGTATAAAAGGCGGCATGCAAAGGGGATTTTTATGGAGGCCAAGTGTCATTTGCAGCTCTCCAAGTGCCCATAAAAGTACATGCGTGGCTTATGATGAGAAATCATGGGCATTTGTGGATATATTTTAGTTGAATAATCCAATGTTTTTAGAATCGGATCGGATGTTGAATCAGAAAAGTTAGTGGTCGATGGTCCCACGGTTAATCATTATAAAATCATTGATTAACCATTGACAGAACCGTTCATGCGTTAGCATATAAAAGACATATAATACACTAATGGAGGAGTAAAATTATCACTAACCGTAATAAAATTCAAATCCATATCATCTATTACCAAAAAGTTCTGGCAAAGTATTCAAACTATCTAAAAAAATAAGTTTTTATTTATTAAATTCAAGTTAGTAATCAAGGTGACAATTTATTTATAGTAGACCACATAAAGCTGACAAGGGGGTTGGGAAATGAAGAAAAGAAGTATAAATACAATTAGTGGTTGTTGTTGTTGGATAATCTGATTTTTCGTTTAAGTATTTTTTTTCTCTTAATTTTTTGTGGTTAAAATTGTGGATCAGTCATACGCGAGTGGTTCACCTGATTTCATGTGAAACTGTTAAAAACCTTTGGGTCCATTTTAACTATCCAATGAACAGAACCACTATTATAACAACTTTACTGGTTCTATTGATCCTTGATCCGGTTCATATCTTATAACAGTGGAATCATTCCTAGTGGAATCATTCCTAGGAACTTAATAGTGGACAAAATTTTGATGAAATATGTAAGGAAGTGGTTAAGCACCATACACGGGCCTGTATAAGATCCAGCATAATCTTCTCCCAACAACTCGAGTTATTGGGACAAACTGGTTTATGGTATGGTATCAGAGCCTGATTGTCCGTGAGATCACGTGTTCAAGTCCTCACGACCCCCAATATTAACCATTGTCTTTCAAGCACATGGTATGGCGGGCCTGTGCAAACTTCAAGCCCATGAGTCGGCTTTCGTTTGAGGGGGCGTGTAAGGAAGTGATTAAGCACCATACACGGGCCTGTATAAGATCCAACATAACCTTCTCCCAACAACTCGAGTTATTCGGATCAACTGGTTTATTGACAAAATATAATATTAGATCGAGCCTATTTTTATGCGTTGGAGATGAGAGTTCAAGTAATAAAGAAAAGCTTTCCGCGAGCCAAATATTAGTGTCATTATTTTACCATTCAATATTATGAGTCTTATTGGTTTTGTTGTTATTTTTATGAAAGTTGTATTATTGATGTCTTATAAATCAAAGATTAAAACTTAAACAGTTAAGAAATCCAAGATATATATACCTACGTCTTACGTCTAAAATCTATGTTGAATATTGTTCTGTATTTTCGCGGCGGAGCGCAAGCTAATTAATTAGTATATATAATTACTGTAACTACGAGAATATATCAACCATTCAGGTCCCTCTCCTTAAGTTCATAATGTCAGTCAAGCTTAATATAAGAGCTACTATAAGCATGGATCGCTAGTCTACCTTAGCATGATTGATGCGTTTCGACTGCGCCACCTCCTATCTCTTTGAGGAGCTTGGTTTACCATTCTCAGATTCGTTTTGTTTGCTCTCGTCTCGACTGCCTTAGCTGGTTGTTTGTTTCTTTTGTATCTGCTCTTTTTGTTCTTCTTTCGGCTCTTGTACGTGTTGTTGTCTTTCTTATCAGAGTGACCAGAATAATATGATCATTTACAAAGACGCTAGCTTTGTCCTCATCTTCCATCCTGCGAATCACCTGATCATTGGTAGTGATAACCTGCTTGAAGAAATTATGATTCTTGAATCTCTTCAAGCGCCACTCGTTCTTGGGTTTGCGGTTCTGAATTTGTTGCGGTTTGCGGTTCTGAACTGCAATCGCACGGTTTTGATTTAAACCTACCGCAAATCACGAACGCGTGATCTAAAGGCAGCATGTTAGATTGCAAGCTTTATGGTGTGATTTGAATTGACTGCATATACGATTTGGTGTAATTTGATGTGGTCCGACCTGCCCACCCCTACATGAAAGCTTCCAAACAAGTGCAAACAAAGGCCAAACCCTAACCTCCAATAGCTATAGCCGCAACCGCTACCAAGAACATTACACATGGCTTAAATAGTCATCAATCCCTAGCCAAACTGACAAGGCGTTACATTTAAGAACATTTCCGTCCTATCCATCTGTAAATATAAGAACCAACATTTCCGGGTTTTCCCATGTGACAATGTCAATTAGTGGGTCTTAAATCTTGATTGACACAAGAAGCAAGCCAGCCTACTGTCTGAGTTTGTTGAGCTGACAATAGAAGTGATCGTGTTCACACTTATTATATGTATTATTATATTGAAAGTTGGATATTCTATTTCTAAGGTAGTTCAGTCGACACTCGTTGGGTATTTTCTTCTCCAGCGAAAGAACACTCCCCAACACATCTGACTATCTGAGTATCTGACCCACATTACGATTTACGATCGCTGATTTCCTACGTGACAAGAATGCCTGGACCGGTTGGAAGTTTTTGGTGGTCGGTACGGTTGGTTGCGGCATCAAGTATTAGGTTCTTTTCTACCAAAAAAAAGTATTAGGTCCTTTTTTTTTCAATGATGACGTGGAGGTTTGAAATAATTCACCTGGATCGTTAGCTAGCTCCCTGCTTTATCCCAGCCGTTGATTGTATTTTTGTTCTTTTTCAGATCATCACTTTTTGAGAGCCTGCCCAGTTCTCGTCCTTATGCAAAGAAGAATCAGGTCAGTAATCATAGTATCAATAATTAATGAGTAATCCGTCTATATTAGAATAATATTAATATAATTTTTTATGAAATTTTTTTAATATTTTCTCCTTTAATAGGAAGACTAGCTAGAAAGAGAATTGGCTACTTTCTTCCTTCGATCCCTGTACAGTGCCTATTCACTCTTCCTAAGGCTATCGAGAAGGGATTTATTCTATTCACAGACAGCTTTCCTTCTTGTCCACGCGCTATGAGACAGATTCACAGTAAGCACAGCTCTTGCTTATCCCCCCTTGCGTACTTAAGAAATGAATGAACCACAGCCTAATGCCTTCCTTCCCGAGTGAGATGTCTGCTGGGCCTATGAACACTATTCCTAAGACAGGAGATTCGACTTGGAAATGTGCTTACTCCTTTTCTTACAGAGCTGATCTTGGACTTCTGGACTGGCTTTCTAACCATCCAATCTTAAGGTTCTTTACCCCACGGGTGCTTCCGCCATGTGAGCTTCTAGACGGGCGATTTCTTTCTCGTTTTAAGTCAGAATTTAAATTTTTTTTACATATAAATCAGATCATCACTTTTTGACAGTTACATGCTTGAGCTGGGTACAGCAGAAGTCCATATGATTGTAGTGTGTATCACAACAAGGTGGAGGATGATTCGATGATCTATCTTGTTCTGCATGTGGATGATATGCTTATAGCTGCGAGGTCGAAGTCTGATATCCAGAAGTTAAAGGGGCTTCTCAGTGCTGAGTTTGAGATGAAGGATTTGGGAGCTGCTCAGAAGATCTTAGGTATGGAGATTTACAGGGACAGGTCGAAGAAGAAGCTTTTCTTGTCACAGAGAGCTACATCCAGAAGAAACTGTCGAGGTTTGGCATGTCTTCAGCAAAGCCCTTAAATACTCCTAGTGTTTCAAATTTTCATCTATGTTTAGCTTATGCACCGCAGTCAGAGGCTGAGAAGGAGTACATGTCGAGAGTCCCATATGCTAGTGCAGTAGGTAGCTTGATGTACGCTATGGTATGCACTAGACCTGATCTTGCACATGCTGTTAGTGTTGTCACCAGGTTTATGATACAACTTGGAAAGGAGCATTGGCAGGATGTGAAGAGGATCTTCTGGTACCTTAAGGGTACACCTGATGTGGGGATTAGCTTCGGAAGTGATGCAGAGTGCTTGGTGTCTGGGTATTCTGACTCGGACTATGCTGGAGATGTTGACACGAGGAGATCGATGACCGGTTATGTATTCACTCTTGGGAGTTCTGTAGTGAGCTGGAAGGAAACTCTGCAGTGACATTGTCTACTACTGAGGCAGAGTATATGGCGTTGACAGAAGCTGTTAGGGAGGGAATATGGTTGAAGGGACTGGTTGGTGATCTAGGTATACATCATGATCAGGCAGTGGTGTATTGAGACAGTTTGAGTGCAATATGCTTGGCCAAGGATCAAGTCCAATATGAGAGGACTAAGCACATCGATGTGAGATATCATTTCTTGAGGACAGAGAAGAGGATTAAGGTGAAGAAGGTTGGCACCGTGGATAATCCTGCTGATATGTTTACGAAGCCGGTTCCACATGGAAAGTTCCAACACTACTTGGACTTGCTGAATGTCTTGAGTGGGTGACTCCGCCCTACGGGGCATTGATGGCGGGAGAGAGAGAGAAGGAGCAGAGTACATCAGAGATTTCAGAGGAAGAGGATTCATGTCAAGGTGGAGATTTGTTGATGTGACTTGAATCGGACTATCAGCCGCTACGACTGGTAATCGGGACTCTCAATGTTATTTGGGTTCGGGTTCTGGGCCTGGTCTGTAACCGTTTCCTTTGCCATATTGGATTAGGTTTAGACCAACATGGAGAAGTACTATAAATACTTCTCATACTCCTCTGTAATCTCCTCGATATAGTGAAACTGGCTCTCTCTCACCCGTGGACGTAGCTAACACACATTGTGTTAGTGAACCACGTAAATCGTGTGTTTGTGTTTTTCAATTCTCGTTTTCGTATTCTTGCTTTATCGATTCCGGCGATTTCCCGATCCATAGCAGCGCGTTTATAACAGAGCTCGAGAACGTGAATCTGCAGTAGTCTTCGTCACTTTCTTTGCCATAATCAGGTGGACAGGATCGAGCACACAACGGTGTCGACCAACGGCATCAACATGCACGTGGCCTCGATCGGCGCCGGCCCACGCGCCATCCTTTCCATCCACGGTTTCCCAGAGCTATGGTACACGTGGCGGCACGAGCTCCTCTCCCTCTCCTCCCGCGGCTACCGCTGCGGACCTCCGGGGCTACGGCGACACCGACTGCCCTGCGCCGGCGGGCCTGGGGATCCAGTAGTAGGTGTTCTTGGTGGGCCATGACAGGGGAGCCATCATCGCCTGGCACTTCTGCCTGTTTAGGCCCGACAAGGTCAAGGCTCTGGTCAACACCAGCGTCCCGTTTACGGCTCGCCACTCCAAGGCGTCACTGCTCGCCGGGATGAGGGCCGTGTTCGGCGACGACTTCTACATGTGCAGTCGGTCATAATATTAACATGTGCTCTTTCTATTAATTCATAATCAACTCCATGAATCGTTAACAAAACTTGGATAAATATGTAGCTTTTAGAAACTGAGTTGGTGAAATTTCTAGTTAGGTTAGCCTTAACAATCGGGCCAGAGAATTGGGTGCGGGATAATTGAAGCCGAACTCATGAGTACGTAAGGACTAATATATATGTTCTGATTTTTCGGTCAAGACGAATAAAATTTGATGGTCATGGGTTTAGAGTTGGGTGTGATTTTATCGGCTTTTGAAATTAAATTAATAGGTGTTGTGTGGATATCATCAAAATACGGTTCATTATTTTCACTTTAATTATATGCTGCAGTATTCTATTACTACCAGTGCTGTCAAAGCCGAAACGAGCCGGCCGGCCGGACCGCCAAAGCCGCCACCCGGCCGTAAAATCGGCTCGGATCAGCTATTTAACCTCCACGGTTTTATACAGCGGCCGGCGAGCGGCCGAAGCGGTTAACCGCTCGAGCCGCTCAAGCCGGTCGCGCGGTTCGGCCGTTTGGTCTACCAAAATAAAATTAGAAAAGGCTGTTGATGTGACTTGAATCGGACTATCAGCCGCTACAACTGGTAATCGGGGGTCTCGCTGTTATTTGGGTTCGGGTTCTGGGCCTGGTCTGTAACCGTTTCCTTTGTCAGATTGGATTAGGTTTAGACCCACATGGAGAAGTACTATAAATACTTCTCATACTCCTCTGTAATCTCCTCGATATAGTGAAACTGGCTCTCTCTCGCCCGTGGACTAGCTAACACACATCGTGTTAGTGAACCACGTAAATCGTGTGTCTGTGTTCTTTTGATTCTCGCTTTCGTATTCTTGCTTTGTCGATTCCGGCGATTTCCCGATCCATAGCAGCGCGTTTATAACAAGTGGTATCAGAGTCGCGGCTGGAAATCAGGCTAGGGTTTTCGATTCAGAAGAATGACGTCGATGAACATGAAGATCGAAAAGTTCACGGGGAAGAACAGCTTCGCTATATGGCAGATCAAGATGCAGGCTTTATTGAAACAGCAAGGGCTGTGGGGGGCGCTGTCTGCGAAACAGAAGAAGGCAGCGGTCGATGACGATGAGTGGAATACCCTGGAGGAGAAGGGCCACTCGACCATCATGCTATCGTTGTCTGATGACGTCATCATTGAAGTCGCTGCTGAGAAGACTGCCGCGGGCTTGTGGTTGAAACTGGAGAGTCTGTATATGACGAAGTCTCTAACCAACAAGCTGCATCTCAAGCAACGGTTGTTCAGATTGAGGATGCAAGAAGGTACGCCTTTGAGGGAACATCTCGAACAGCTTAACTCTATTTTGCTGGATCTGCGTAATATAGATGTTCAAGTTGATGACGAGGATGCTGCCCTAATCCTGCTGGTTTCTTTGCCGAGTTCATATGAGAATTTCGTTGATTCTTTTATTGCCGGTAAAGAAAGCGTGTCGTTGGAGGATGTCAGGTCTGCTCTTCATACGAGAGAGATCAGACATAAGGCGTCCGGATCTGGTACAGGTGGTGAGGCATCGGGTTTGGCTGCTACAGGTGGAAAGGGAAAGAAGAAATCTGGTAAAGGGAATTCGAACAAGAATTCCAAGGGTCCCGGTCCACAGCCAGGTGATGCTTGTCACAACTGTAAGGAAGTGGGACATTGGAAGTACAACTGTCCCAAGAGAAGAGGGAAACAGAAGAAACAAGGTTCAGTTGCCGTGGCAGAAGTGGACAACAGTTCTGAAGACGATCTCGCCTTGGCTGTAGACGAGAAGGCACGTCGTGGGGATGTGTGGTTTTTGGATACTGCAGCCTCATACCATATGTCTCCGAACAGGGATTGCTTCACAACCTACGAGCAGATAGATGGTGGTAACGTGGTCATGGCAAATGGAGCTGTCTGCAAGGTTGTTGGAATCGGGTCCATAAAGGTTCGGACACATGATGGTTCGTTCTGTACCGTGAATGATGTCAGACATGTTCCACGAATGACAAAGAACCTGATCTCCTTGAGTCTACTCGACAGCAAGGGTTTCAGCTTCAAAGGAAAAGGTGGAGTTGTGTATGTCTGCAAGGGTTCGAGGAAGGTACTGAAGGGCGTGAAGCGTGGGACCTTGTATGCATTACAAAGGTCTTTGTTGTCTGGTTCTGCTGCAGTTGCATCGTCTCAGGTTCAACAGGAAGATATGACCACTCTCTGGCACATGAGACTAGGGCATATGAGTGAACGAGGGATGCAAGTTCTATCGAAGAGGGATCTTCTTTGCGGGCACAAGGTGCAGAATTTGGAATTCTGCGAGCATTGTGTGTTTGGGAAGCTACATCGCAGCAAGTTTTCCAAGAAGGGTATCCACCGGACGAAGGGGATACTGGATTACCTCCACTCCGACTGTTGGGGTCCTTCACGAGTTGAATCCATTGGAGGCAGCAGGTATTTTCTGTCTATTATTGATGATTATTCGAGATTTACTTGGATTTTCATGATGAAGCAGAAAAGTGAGGCTTTCACGAAGTTCAAGCAGTGGAAGACATTGGTGGAGAATCAGACCGGGAAGAAGATCAAGAAGCTGCGAACGGACAATGGTCTGGAGTTCTGCAGTTCTGAGTTCAACGAATTCTGCAAGGATGAAGGGATTGCCCGTCATCAGACTGTTAGAGATACACCCCAGCAGAATGGCGTTGCAGAAAGGATGAACCAGACATTGTTGGAGAGAGCACGGTGCATGCTCTCTAATGCTGGACTAGAGAGAAGATTCTGGGCAGAAGCAGTAAACATGGCGTGCTTCCTGATCAACCGTGGACCTCACACAGGTATCGAGTGTAAGACTCCTTATGAGGTGTGGTATGGTAAGCCTGCTGATTACTCTTCACTGAAAGTTTTTGGGTGTCCTGTTTATTATCACGTGGATGAGGGTAAACTGAACCCAAGGGCAAAGAAGGGTGTATTTGTGGGTTACGGAGATGGAGTTAAGGGATTTCGAGTCTGGTCACCTTCTGAGCATCGAGTTATACTTAGTAGAAATGTGATATTTGATGAGAAGTCTATGTTTAACCCCATGTTGAAGGTTGTTGTTATTGAAGGTAGCAGGAATGTTGATAAACAGGTGGAGCTGCAAACTCTCAATGAGAGTGAATTTGAGCACCAAGGTGGAGAAGATCAACATGATGAGGATGTCTCTGCAGAGCCAGAAATTTCAGAGTCCAGTGCACGAGCTCAACAGTCTATTGCTTCCGGTAGACAGAAGAGAGCGAGTGCAGGAGTACCTCCACAGAGGTATGGCTTCGAGGACATGGTGGCATATTCATTTCAGGTTGCTGAGGAAGTGGATGCAGGAGAGCCACAGTCCTATAGAGAAGCAGTTTCGGGTGGTGAAGCTGATTAGTGGCTTGCCGCAATGGGAGATGAAATGGAATCCCATGACAGGAATCAGACTTGGGAGCTAGTCAAACGACCACAGGGAAGGAAGATTGTTACAAACAAGTGGATCTACAAGAAGAAGGAAGGAATCACTTCTAAAGAGGGCATGAAATTTAAAGCTCGGGTGGTTGCACGAGGCTTCTCGCAGAGGGAAGGAGTTGACTACAATGAGATTTTCTCACCAGTGGTCAGACATACTTCGATCAGAGTGCTACTAGCAATAGTGGCACATTATGACATGGAGCTCGAGCAGCTAGACGTGAAGACAGCTTTCCTACATGGAGAGTTGGAGGAAGAAATTTACATGACTCAGCCAGAAGGATTCGAGGTTCCGGGAAAAGAAGACTATGTTTGTAAGCTGAAGAAGTCCTTGTATGGACTTAAGCAATCTACGAGGCAGTGGTACAAGAGATTTGACAGTTACATGCTTGAGCTGGGCTACAGCAGAAGTCCATATGATTGTTGTGTGTATCACAACAAGGCAGAGGATGGTTCGATGATATATCTAGTTCTGTATGTGGATGATATGCTCATAGCTGCGAGGTCGAAGTCTGATATCCAGAAGTTAAAGGGGTTCTCAGTGCTGAGTTTGAGATGAAGGATTTGGGAGCTGCTCAGAAGATCTTGGGTATGGAGATTTACAAGGACAGGTCGAAGAAGAAGCTTTTCTTGTCACAGAAGAGCTACATCCAGAAGATACTATCGAGGTTTGGCATGTCTTCAGCAAAGCCCTTAAATACTCCTAGTGCTTCAAATGTTCATCTATCCTCAGCTTATGCACCGCAGTCAGAGGCTGAGAAGGAGTACATGTCGAGAGTCCCATATGCTAGTGCAGTAGGTAGCTTGATGTACGCTATGGTATGCACTAGACCAGATCTTGCACATGTTGTTAGTGTTGTCAGCAGGTTCTTGATACAACCTGAGAAGGAGCATTGGCAGGCTGTGAAGAGGATCTTCCGGTACCTTAAGGGTACACCTGATGTGGGGATTAGCTTCGGAAGTGATACAGAGTGCTTGGTGTCTGGGTATTCTGACTCGGACTATGCTGGAGATGTTGACACGAGGAGATCGATGACCGGTTATGTATTCACTCTTGGGAGTTCTGTAGTGAGCTGGAAGGCAACTCTGCAGTCGGCGGTGACATTGTCTACTACTGAGGCAGAGTATATGGCGTTGACAGAAGCTGCTAAGGAGGGAATATGGTTGAAGGGACTGGTTGGTGATCTTGGTCTACATCATGATCAGGCAGTGGTGTATTGCGACAGTTTGAGTGCAATATGCTTGGCCAAGGATCAAGTCCACCATGAGAGGACTAAGCACATCGACGTGAGGTATCATTTCTTGAGGAGAGAGAAGAGGATTAAGGTGAAGAAGGTTGGCACCGCGGATAATCCTGCTGATATGTTCACGAAGTCGATTCCACATGGCAAGTTCCAACACTGCTTGGACTTGCTGAATGTCTTGAGTGGGTGACTCCGCCCTACGGGGCATTGATGGCGGGAGAGAGAGAAGGAGCAGAGTACATCAGAGATTTCAGAGGAAGAGGATTCATGTCAAGGTGGAGATTTGTTGATGTGACTTGAATCGGACTATCAGCCGCTACGACTGGTAATCGGGGGTCTCAATGTTATTTGGGTTCGGGTTCTGGGCCTGGTCTGTAACCGTTTCCTTTGTCAGATTGGATTAGGTTTAGACCCACATGGAGAAGTACTATAAATACTTCTCATACTCCTCTGTAATCTGTAATCTCCTCGATATAGTGAAACTGGCTCTCTCTCGCCCGTGGACTAGCTAACACACATCGTGTTAGTGAACCACGTAAATCGTGTGTCTGTGTTCTTTCGATTCTCGCTTTCATATTCTTGCTTTGTCGATTTCGGCGATTTCCCGATCCGTAGCAGCGCGTTTATAACAAAGTCCAATCGTGGAATCGGCCGTCAACACCTCTTGTCCCGGCATCGGCGCTTCCCGACGGCATCGCCATCCCCAGTCGCCATCGCATCGCCATTGCCAGTCCTTGTTGTAGCAAGCAGCTCCCCGCTCCCGGCTCTTCCATCCCGTCGCCACCGTCGCAAGCAGCTCCCCGCTAAGCTGCCCTGTCTCACCAGAGGCTTGGATTGAATCCGAGCCATTTCGCGGATTGGGACGAAGAAGAGCATTTATTGGTTAAGAAAGGATGAGGAAGAATTGAATGTGGTGATGGATTTTTGAGGAATTGCAGAAGGCTATAGTGACTGAAAAATGAAAATAGGTGCGGCGGTGGGAGAGGAGGAAGGAGAGAGGGAGGGGGGATGGGGAAGCGGAAGGAAGGAGAGTGATGGGTGGGGAAGCGGCGTTGTCGCTTAGGTTTAGGTTAGGGTTTTTTTTAGTTGCTGTATATATATGTTGTGTAGAATTATTAAATGGTACCTGTAATTATCATTTTTACTCATTAAATCATTGAATTATTACTTTATGTGTGTTCTACTATGATATTATATTGTTTATAATGTACCGGTTCTCAAACGGTTTTTAAACGGTCTAATGCCGGTTGGACCACTAATGACCGAGCCGTTCACGTTACCGGGTCATACTCCGGCTCGGCTTTGACAGCATTGATTACTACCCCTCCTCCCTAACCCTAAGAGTGCGGATCTGGTGACTAAGGGGGTGCTTAATCACTTGACTAAACCCCTCCTAGCCATTAGATCTGGACACTTCAATCCAATGGTTAAAAAGTGGGAAGGACTATTTAATTAATAGCAGGGGTAGTTTGGGTATTATGAAAAATTACGAAGTATACAAATCGGATTTACAATCAGTACAATCCATACAAACATATGAACAGTACAAACTAGAGCGACAAAACATACAAACAGATTTACAAACATTACAAATGTATGAACTGTACAAACAATACAAACTAGACCGACAAACAATACAAACCATACAAAAAGAAAAAACAACCGGGTTGACTTTTGAGGCTCCATCCCTATATAGAGGGGCTCCTTCCCAAAGTCAACCCGGACGTTTTTTAGACATACAAACAGTACGAACATGGTGGACAAAAATGATAAACTAGACCGACAATCCATACGAACGGGAAAAAACTCCTGGGTTGACTTTGGATGCTCCATCTCTATATAGAGGGGCTCCTTCCCAAAGTCAACCCGGGTGTTTTTTAGACATACAAACAGTACGAACATGGTGGACAAAAATGACAAACTAGACCGACAATCCAGACGAACTAGAAAAAACACCCGGGTTGACTTTGGAGGCTTCATCCCTATATAGAGGAGTTCCATCCAAAAGTCAACCAGGTTGTTTTTTAGACATAAAAAACATTACAAACATGGTTGACAAAAATGATAAACATGGTGCACAAAAATAACAAAGTTTACAAACATTACAAAAAAAACCGAAAAACATTACAAAATTACAAAGCGTACAAACATTACAAAATAAACCGACAAAAGTACAAAATGTCACTAAAAATTACAAACAATACAAACCGAATCTATACAAACATTACAAAATAGGTCAGCAAACATCACAAATTCCAACATTGTCGCCGGGAAATTTCCTTCGGTCGCCGGAAAACTCTCTCTCTCTCTCTCTCTCTCTCTCTATCTATCTCTCTCTCTCTCTCTCTCTCTCTCTCTCTCTCCCCACCAAGTTGGGGAAAAGGCAAAGTTGGGGAAAATTAATAGCCCACCAATTTCGGAAACAACGGCGGCAGGGAGGAACGCCGAAAAATCCCAAGCCGTCAAGTTGGGGACAGCGATGACGTGCAGAAAATTCCGGAAGGCGGGAGGATACGTAGCAGCTTTATTTTTTTTATTTCAATTTCCAAATAAATAAATTGTATAATTACTAGTATACCCTTCATTAAACTAGATAAATCTGAACCATTAGATTTTAATGAGGTTCAATGGTTGAGATTGGTTTAGTCATGTGACTAAGGGACCCCCTTAGTCACCTGATCTTAGCCCCAAACCCTAATTCGCGCCCCCGCCGGTGGACGTCGACATGGAGGGGCGGAAGTTTTCAGCTCGTTTCCTCACCAACTCGAGTACCTCTTCGATCAATGATACTATTATTCCGGCTACCTCCACCTAGGGGTGAACAAACATACCCGCAAACCGACCCACCCGTCCAACCCGACCCGACCCACTCGTATTTATCGCTAAATCGAAGATTTTGGGTTGGGTGAGGGTTTTCTTTTGTACAACCCGCCTCTTTTGGGTTGGGTTTGGATTTTGGATTACACAACCCGTAGAACCCGACCCAACCCGTGTTCCAATTATTGGTATGAATTCGTATCCAAAAAAATATTTATGTCGTATATAGTCATGCTTATGAGAAAATTAAGATATTTCGCCATGTTTTTCTCTTAAAGTCTCACTAATATAATGCATTATTCGACTTAAAGTTTAGACATATATTTAATATAGCTATGATTCACGTATTTTTTTTCTTGTGTACAATTTTAAAAGAATATCATATTATGGATGCGTTCATTTGTAACCTTTTTAGCCTATTTCAACAAATGTCGTGAAAAAAACTAGACATAAGTTGAAGTAAATCAAGTTTTATTAAATTCAAACAATATTTGTGAATTTTGATACCTTTCACCTCGGTTTATTCGTTTGAATTTTTAATTTGTTATAAAATATTTTTATGATGTAGAATAATTACATATTTTGTGTTGGGTTGGGTTTTTACTTAAAAATATCGTCAACCCGACCCAACCCAATTAGAAACAAACCGTAGGGTTTTGATTTTTTTGGGTGGGTTTGGATTTAATATTTCCCAAACCGTAGTGCATGGATCGGGTGATTACAATGCCTAAACCCGGACCACCCGACCCATGTACACCCTACCTCCACCCATCGTCAACTCTCCACTATCCTAAACGGTCACCTCGAATCTCGTAAAGTTTACTTATACTTCTCTTGTTGGGATTGATTTCTCTGGTACTTAGCTGAAAACAGTCGGTCACTGTATGTGTGTTGTTTGTGACAGGGAATTCTGATTCTCAGCCCTATGTTTTTCTGATCAATGGGAAGCTTTTTCCTACAGACGTCGGCCTCGACAGATTCCTTTTACATAAGGGCATTTACGTTGTAAGTTTCAAAATCTCTCTCCCTCCCTGATTCTCATTCACTGCTCTTTTCTCTTTTTGTTGCTCAGTTGAAATCGGCTGTATATATATATATATAACAGGACAAGACGTTGGAGATTGAATGTACTCTTCCTGTCAAAGAGGAGGTGAGGCCTTTAGTGCATGGCGGACCCGTCAGTGTAGTAGATTGTTCTTGTCCTGGGTACGTAATAATAATCCACCGCGCGCGCTTTCTTTTGATTCTTCAATAGTCTGTAGTCATCCTTATGGATTAGAGGATCAATTAAGCAGTTCCCTCTGCTACAATGTTGCTGATTGGGCTGGCTGTTAACGGCTTTCCATCTTGCTTGCTTGGTTGCAGGTTCATCTTCACTGGATGCTACGACGGCAATGTTAGGTTTAAGCCTATTGCTTTACCCTTTTACATGCTCACTTTGTCATTCTTGCAGCCATTTCTCGCCCTGCGCTCAAGTTTTCTTCACACAATAACGAGATATCAGCATGCCAGTGGCACAAAGATTCATTCCACTTAATGTCTGCGTCCCTTGATGGCACAGTCATGATGTGGGATGTCAGAAATGAGGTATCGATTTTTCTCAGCCAGTAGTTTCAGTTTGGCAGTTTCAATGCATACAATACAAGCCAATCGAATTGATTTTGATGTGCAGGGGTATGCTGTTATCGAGTCACATGAACACAGAATGCTATATACTGATTGGTTGGAAGGGTACCGTGTAGTTAGTGGTGGTGTTGACGCGAAGCTTCGGATTTCATCTAGTGTTACCCTGCCTCTAAAGGAACCTAAGTTAATGTCAACATGAATGGGGAAATATTTGCGACAACTGTTGGTTTGTGGTTGAACATTAATTTTCATATGAAATCGAGTGGAGCGCAGTCAACTCTACCAATACCAAATGAATGTTGTACTGTTGAGGGGAAACTTGAAATCAACTCGTCGTGCTCAACCTACGCTGCGCACGATACACGTTACAAACATCAACAGATCCGGCGGTAAAGCATTGCCTTTTGTGCCAACTTGTATGGGTTAGATTGTGGCCTCTTGAAAATTCTTTTTTAATTGTTTCCAACTCCGAAAACAAAAGGTGTGGTAGCTTTTTGGCTATTTTCCGGAAACAACAAATTAGTTTCAATCTGTTTCCTCATGTTTTTAACAAAAAAAAAAATTCCGGAAACAACAAATTAGTTTTTTCTCTTGTTTTTCACAATTTTTTTTTTAATTGTATGGTTGGTCATTGAGATTACAAAAACGTTTAAATTTGGTCACTCGAAATATTTAAATCTATTAGTGGTACTTCAGTTTACTGAAACCGTTCATGTTTGGTCACTCTCCGTCCAACTCCTTTAACTTTTGCTTACGTGGTGGTCAACTCTAAAAGCTGACTGATAAATGTGTGACGTGGCAATTTAAAACTAATAAAATTATTTTTTTTTAAATTACCAACTCATTTCCACCTCATTATCTCTTTTATCTAAAATAAATAAAAAACCCTAATTTCTTCTAATCCAAATACCATTTAAACTATTCATAACATAAGCCTTCTGGTATTCCCCAACCCTCTTCTCAAAAAAATTGTCTTACCCTGCAACAAAATTAGCTCCATCCATTCAAACTATTCATAGTTAGGTGACATCGATTTGTCGGGAGAATCCGTCAGAGAAGGAGTGTCGCCGCCACCACTGCCAGTCGGAGTAGCAGTGCGAGCAGCAGGAACAGCAGAAGAAGGGGCGACAGCGATAGCGGCGTTATCGTTGTCGAGGAAGGTGGAGACGGCGGCGTCGAGATCCCATTGGTGGCTCTCGAGGAAGAAAGCGGCCAGCTTCCTGCCTGGTGGAGGAGGTGATCTCGCAGAAAGAATCGACGAGAGCGGAACTCGCGTTGTCGTTGAGATCGAGATTCCCGGCGGCGGCTTCCATGTTCGGTTTCGAGGGGTTTCGCCGGACCTTTGGGCGTACGATAGGTGTGAGGCGGCGGCTGGGTTAGGGGTAGATTTTTTGGAGGGAATTGGAAGAAGGGAGAAATCAGAAAAGAAGGATTCATATTTTTTTTTTAGTTTGCAGTGATTCGATTCCTTGAACCCACCTTATTACATTCTTTTCTTAACGTTTTTCCTTGCAGCAACGAACTAAATATACTAGCCCATCAAAGCCCCATTCATCCCTACCAGCGCGCATGGCAGGGCATCACAAACAATTCCTTTCACTTGCTCCTCGCTGGGCTTCACCTTCATCAACCCATACAGGAAGCAGGCAAAATCACAATGAAGCCCTTCATCTCGCGATATCAGCTTGTTGGAGAACGTCAACCCGAGCATCAATACGCGCTGATTCAGCCAAAATATCTCGCAGAAGCTACCAGAGAAGAAGATCCCTTCAACGCAGGCAAACGCAATCAACCTCTCGGCAAACGATTCCCCTCCGTCGATCCACTTCGAGGCCCACTAGGCCTTCTTGGCCAAACAAGGCACCGTCTCGATGGCGCGTAAGAGGCGGCTCTTCTCGTTGAAGTCCTTGATGTAGGTCTCGAGGAGGAGGTTGTACATCTCGGAGTGGATGTTCTCGATCACGATGGAACCCGTAGAAGGCTCTGGCCTCGGGACAGGTTACTGTGATTACTACTTTAGTAGTAATCACCGTGGTTACTAAGGGTAAATTGGGTATGGAAAAATAAATTATATTAATTAAATTTTTAATAAATTACATTTAAGGTAGTTACAAAAATCTATTAATTAAAATTCTCTCTTTCTCTCACTTCCGTAATCTCCAACCAGATTTCCTTTCCATATTTTTCTCAATCTTTCTGCAAAAAAAAAAAAAAAATGAAATCAGTACCAATCCATTAGACAAACACTACCACTTTGAAAAACATCAATACCATTGCAGAAATAAATCTATACCATTACACGAAAACTACCATTGCAGAAATAAATTTATACCATTACACGAAAACTACTAATATAAACAATCTATACCATAAACAATCAATACCATTGTAGAAATAAATCTATACCATTACACGAAAACTATCAATATAAACAATCTATACCATAAACAATCAATACCATTGCAGAAATAAATCTATACCGTTACACGAAAACTACCAATATAAACAATCTATACCACTGCACATTGAATCCATAAACGAAAACTACCAATATGTCTATTTGGTATGTATGTTGTGATGGTAGAGAGAAAGAAAGAGAGCAGAGAGAGAGAGCGGGGAGAGAGAGAGAAGTACCGCCTGAAGGGAAAGCGAACAGGGAAATTATGGTCTCTTTTGTTTGTCCTAGAGATGTATAAAAGCTTTGAGATTTGGCTATGGCGGAGACAAATTTTGGCTATCAGACAAGAGGGTTTTTGTCAAATGGGAAGGACCTCTGTAGAACGAAAATTGACGGAATGGGGAATTGCAAGTTGCAACCAAGAGGAGCCCATGCTCATCAATAGAGGGTGGGCGGGGGCTGCTGCCGGCGGTGGCCGAGGGTGGTCGGGGCTGCTGCCGGCGGTGCGACGGGAGTGGTACGTGGAGGCGGCTGCGACGGGTTTGGCTGGAGGGAGGATAGAACTAGGGTTAAGGTAGATTATATAGAATAATCAGGTGTGATCACTTTTTAATTTCCAAAATTACCCTAAAAGAATCTTGGCCGTAAGATTAAAAAAGAAGGAAAAATAATTAATCAAATGGTATATAAAGAGGTTGCCACCGTGATTACTAAAAAACAAGTAATCACCCTAACCCATTCCCTCTGGCCTCCGCCACTTGCACTTCCTTCAAGAACCGGCCGGCGAGATTCTCGAGGACGATTCCGCTGGAGGCGGCAAAGAAGGTGAGAACGTGGGTGATGAAGTGGCGCTCGTCAGGGAAGAGTGATTCTTAGTGGCGGGTGTCCTGAGAGAGGTTGGGTATTGGTATTGGGATCAGAAGAAATTAGAATTTTTTATTTATTTTAAATAAAAGTGATAATGAAGTGGAAATGAGATGGCAATTTTAAAAAATTTAATTTTATTATTTTTAAATTATCACGTCACACATTTAACGGTCAACTTTTAGAGTTGACCGCCACGTAAGCAAAGTTTAACGGAGTTGGACGGAGGGTAACCAAATGTGAACGGTTTCAGTAAACTGAAGTACCACCAATGGCTTTAAATATTTTGAGTGACCAAACTGGGAACGGATCATGTCAGTAATCTTATGGTCAGTAATCATGAGTAACCCGTTTACATAAGTATAACATCAATATCTCTCTCTCCAGGAAAGTCTTTTATCTTTTCCCCTTTAATCTTTAACGGACGATTTCTCTCTCGTTTTAAGTCGAAATTTAAATTTTTTTGCACCAATAAATCAGATTAAATGTGCTCTTTAAAATTATATTCACTTTGATATATTCTTAGTACAAAAAGAATTGAATAATTTTTTACCAGTCATTACAATATGGTATGCTCATATTTAATACCATATAGTAAGAAAGCGTATCATGATGGTATGAACATACCAATATGGTAAGAAGGTTGAATATATGATAGTAGGAGTATACTAACTGTCATTTATGACTTTCATCATTGTTTACCACAAGTTACCACCCACATACCATAGTGGTAAAGTATGATAATTTTTTGTCCAGTATTTTTTTCACCCAGAAATTTGTAGAACCAATAGATCATGATGAACTCGTTCCTTCTGAGCAAACGTTTTCAAAAACGACTTATAAACGAAGAAGTTACCATATGGTATGTTGTTGGTAAAAAAAAAGTTTCTCAAAATATATTGAAAATTGAAATCCGAGTTAGAAAGAAGAAGATAAGAGCCGATTATGAAAACTAGAGAAAATAAAATGTCTTTAATTGACAACCCTTAGATCTGAATTTTCTGGGTCCACTTAGATCTAAAGGTCCAGATTTAGTTACTCATAGGTCAGTAACCAATGGTTACTGACCCTATCCTAAGCCGACCAAACTTGAAAATTTTTTGGAATCTCATTGACCAACCATGCAATTAACCAAATAGAAAATTTATAAAATCAAAGTGTAAATAATTTGAGTTTCTTTTGGATTACGAAAATAGTAACAACCATTTCAAGTAAAGTATGACAAGGATTATAAATTTAAATAACGGTTAATTTTGACCAATGAGTTTATTTGCCAATTATATTAAGAAATTGGAAAAAATGGTGGAGTCACTAAGTGTCCTTTCGACTATGTTCCATCTCCTCAATATATTTTGATAAGAAACTATTCCGGCCAACGGGCCGGGCACCAACTAGTGAAAAGCTTGAATAAAAGTCTAGTTTCGTAATATGCAAGGAACAAAGCCCAGCTGAAGCATGGATTTTTTCCATTTGTCATAGGCTAACTGGCCGAACACCTTTACTTAGGCCTACATATCCAATCTAGATCTAGCCATCTATGTATCCGTTCCATAAATTTATAGTGCAATTATGTCTCTATATTTAAGGGCAGGAGGGCTAATAATCGGTTCGGTTTAACCGCATCATTTAAATTAGTCGGTTAACCGTAACCGTATAGTCGGTTCTTATCCATTAACCGGATAATCGTTAACTATATGATTTAGGGCTGGGAAACGGTGCGGTCTGGTCTAGACCAGACCATATATACGGTCTATGGTCCAGACCAAGAGGCTAAAGTATAGACCATAGACTATACAGTCCGGTCCAGATCACGTCTAAGTGGTCTGGTTCGTTCTGGTCTGGTCCAGATAGACCACACTCAACGAAAAATGAATAATTTTTTTAGTCAACCACACAAAAAATTGCACCAATAACCAAGGAAAATAATTTTTATTTGCCTTTAAACATTAATCCTAACATGCATGAATAAGTTTGATACTCTAAATCTTAGTACATAACAAAGATACAAAGTAAAAGCATCTCAACTTGCACCATAACATCATAAATATTAACATAATGTCATATGGAGACACGATTATCTCTACTCTCTGGTTAAATGTGGTTGTGAATGAAGGAGGGAAGAGATTCACAAAACTAAATTTGAGACTTGGGTGTCGTTGTGGGAGTTGGGAGAGTGGTCGAATGGGTTGTTAACGCGTATTGACAAGTCAGTTGGGTCTACGGTTTGGTCCGGTAAACCGCGGTCTAGACCAGACCAAACCAAAAGATCAAAACATAAAATAATACAGACCATGGACTAGACCAGACCATACTTAACGGTCTACGGTCCGGACCAAACTGTACGATACGGTTTAGACCAAGATTTTTCTAACGGTCTGGTCTATTTTCCCAGCCCTAATATGATTCGGCAAGGTTATACCAAAATAACCGAGTGATAACCAAACCAACAAAAGACCTCATTTTTTCAATTGTGAAATTTTATGTAATTTCTCGTGCATAGGTTGGCATGTGTTTATTTCTTAAGTTGTTATCATTGAATAAAAAATAATTTAAGATAGATATATATCAATACATAATCAACTCAATCCAACACAAGTACATAATAATACCATTGTACCGTCGAATTTTATTAAAAAAGCATACAACGATAAGAGACCTAACAACAATTACTCAACTCGTAAACCCCACAAATTACATGGAAGTAATGTTACTGATTGTGGTCGAGCAACTGTGTCCAAGTCTGAGTTTCTATTGTTTTCATTCTAAAACTCTTCCTTTAAATTATTCTCATTTGAGTTTAAGTCACTATTAAAACTAGGATAGGCAAGGGGTCTTGTAATCCTTCAAACACCTCATTATTTTCGGCCTATGTTTGCGGCTCATGGAGCTCTATTATTTTTTGCCCTAACTATGAGGATGGTCGTAATCGGTTAGTCGGTTAACCGTTGGTCATTAACTGTTTAACCATCGGTTAGTTATTAGCTAAATTTGACTATCGAGAACCGACCGTTTACTATTTATTCGGTTATCAGTGTAACTGTTAAGCACTGGTTCCGGTTCAGTTATCGGTTACACCGTTAACGGGATAACCGTTTACCAGTCCTAGGAAGGAGAGACCTTCTCAATTGGCAGGGTCTTCCAATGATCGAGGAGGCTCTGTTTCAAAGTTGAGATGTGGCCAAATTTTGAAGTATAATAAAATTAAATGATTATCTATTATCTCCCTAATTATCGTATTCTTCATTAGATCATTTTGCAATTATTATTATAGCTAGTCTATTAAAATTTTCTTGTATTATTTTTTAGTACAAATAGAATTTTTGTAACACAAACAATGCTTTAACAATGAATATACGTGCTTAGTGTATATATACATGAGAATATCAACCAATAACTAACGCTTATATTAATATATACATGAGAACAAAGGCGGAGCTGTAGTCAACCTTGTGCTTCTATGGCCAACGTTCAAACTAGCTAACAACATTTTAGACTTTTAACACAAGTATTGAGCTTCTTCAAAAAAATAAGGGTTAATATCACTAGGA